GAGCCATCTTTCCAGATTCCCTAGAAATTTTTGAGTTCTTAGCCTTTTAATTTCACTGGAGAGCATTATGGTCAGAGATTTCATTTCTTTTCATTTCCCTTGATCACTCTTTCTATTTAACTGCCTATCCAAGCTTCAGAGAAAATTGAACCAGAATGGCTTTCCCCCTTTGAGACACATTACTTCTATTCTGTGGTTCATTTCACTAAGAACTGGCTGAGTTGCACGGCACAAAGTGTAGAATTTGTTCAGCTTGTAACCAATTACCTTTGAAGGAACCAGCTTCCTTTTGGCAGCCATAACAGCCGAACACGTGCTTGCCATAAACCTGCCTTGGTCACGTAGAGGTCAGATGCCTGTCTTGTGACAAGGAACCAATCAGAAGTTAGCTGGTGGCGCTATGCTTTACGACCCTGGGTGTGCTTTATGGACAAGCGCACAGCAATGACTTAGAGAGCATAGCAACCACCCTGGGAGGGCCTATGGGCCATAACAACCAGTTGACCAATCAACACAGGGCAAGCCCTCCAAGCCTGGAGGCACACCAATCGTGAGCTTTTCTAGCCGTCCACCATGGCAGGTGGTTGAAAGACCCGAGCTAACATAGGGTTAGCTCGTTAAATTACAATAAAGCCTCGTGCAGTTTGCAGCAAGCTCTCGAATCCGCCTGGTGATTGGGGTGACCGCGAACCTGGCCTGAGACCCCGGATACTTGAGTTTTCGGGGGTCTAACACCTTCACTTCTGAAGCTAAAAAATAAATTTTTCATTAACATCTCTTCATCTTGACTTCGTTTTGCTTTTGATACAAGGACTCTATATTGACCTCACTTGCTTCAAACTCTTGGGTTCTATGTGATCTCCCTGTCTCAGGAACCTACCCAGCTGGCTCTCCCTGTCCATAATTATTACAGCAGCATAAAAATTCTTCATTGTTCTTAGATATGACACCCAAAGTACAAATATAAGAAAAAATAATGAATTTTTTGTACCATTAAGGATGTCACCAAAAGAAAAAATACAGGAGAAAATATTTGCAATGTATTCCTATACTTCAATAAGAAATTTTAAATAGGTAAATCTCTGAAGAGACATTTAAGACAGAAAAATGACCCATAAATACATGAAAAGTACACAATCCAGACATTCTACTTGACTACTAACCAAGAGAATTTGAAGAGCCATATGTATTTAAAACTCTTAAGCAAGCATTACTAACAGTGGTATAACAGCAAAAGCAGAAACAAGTTTAATGTTCAACAGTTGAAGGGCAGGCCAAAATAGAATATCTGCCTTAGAATGGAGTATTATTGATCAACAAAAAGAAGCTAAGTATTGTTAAATTATGACTAGATCTTAAGGGGGCTGAAGAGATGGCTCAGGAGAAGAGTGTGCACTGTTTTTAGAGAGGACCAGAGTTAATTCCTAGCACCTACATCTGGGGACTCACAACTGCCTTTAATTCCAACTCCAGGGAATAGGACATCTCTGGTTTCCATAGGAACTCGTTTCTCGTGTGCACACATGCACATACACATTTTTCAAAAGTTTATAAACTAATTACAAAACATCACATCACATACTGCATTCCATTTATATGAAATTCTAGAAAGGACAAACCTAAAGAAACAATATAAATTGGTGGTTTCCGAGGGTTGGGAAGGGAAATGACTAATGAATGGGGACTAGGTCTTCTTGCAATGAGACTGTGACGGTTACTCTACTCTGCAAAAATACTAAATACCATCATTTCTATAAAGGCCTTTAAATTCTTCCATGAAAATGATGTGTATATATTATTGCTAATATCATTAACTCTGAAATAGTTTTACTCAGTTATGTGATTGTGAGGATAAATAAGCAAAGGAATATTGCATGCTTTACCACATATATATTTTTTAATTGAAAATTACATTTATTGTACATAATGGTGTGTGTGCTCATGACATGACTCGTGTATGGAGGTCATAAGACCTCTCACTGTGTGAGACCTGGGATCTAACTCAAGTAGGGTTTGGCAGCATGTGCCTCTATCCACGGAGCCAGTTCCCCTACTTACATAGTCCTGGTTGGCCTGGAATATGTTATATAGACTAGGCTGACCTTGAACTTGTAGCAATCCCCTTGTGCCAGCCTCCCCAGCTCTGGAACCTGTGTTTGGTTTTGTTTTAGCGGAGTTGGAGGTGGAGGAGGTGGTGGCAGAGACAGAGTTTCTATGGTATTCCAGGCTGGCCTTGAATTTTTGAAGGAGGGTGACCTTGAGTTTGCAGCAATCCTCCTACTTCTACCTCCCGAGTGCTGGCATTACAGCCACTATGGCCGACTCAAATTTAATTTTGTAAAGGTCAGGAATAATTTGGGAAGACCAGGACTCTCATCCTTGGTTTGGAAAACTGAAGGATGGGCCTTAGTAATTTCTTGGGCTTAGGGATAAAGGTGATTATAGCTCGTACATCTTGATTTCACAAAGTGAAAAGCAGCTACTTAGGAAACTGGACTTCTAAATTTTCATCCGAGTAGCCAGAAATGGGGCACCCAGGCTTTGCTCCGCGTGGAGTATCGACCCTTCGCTGATTAATTACACAAGTTTTATCACAAATCGCTCCCAGAAACCGAGTCAGCGCTCTTTGAGGTCAAGGACGGCGTGAATCAGCGGTAAATGTTCCAGTGTTCTCTGTACTGTTGAGGACAGAGAACCAGAAGAGGAATGGGATGTAGGTCTGTCTGAGGTGCTCGGGGATCCCTGTTCTCACCGGGGTGGAGAGTCGAACTTCGACTTCGGCTGCCTCTCCGATCCCAGCAGCAACCCAGACAGGACGTCTCTTACCTTGCTTAAAGCCTGTCTGCGCTAACTCGAGACTCGCTGGGCTGTAAGCAAGCTCTATTCCAGGCACTCGAAATGGAGTCTTCGTCGTTGCAAGTTACCAACAGGCCGACTCCCAAGAAAAATACAATGAACCTAACACCATCTCGTAATCTTCCAAAGCACTACCGGGTTCTTTCCTCACCCAGCCCCTTCCAATGCCCATTTTCCCGCTCACTTCCTAGGCTTTGGCTCTTGGGATTCTCTAGAGCAGTGGTTCGCAACCTTCCTAATGCTAATACAATTTCTCATGTTTGGTCGTCCCAACCGTAAAACTATTTCCGTTGCTATTTCATAACTGCAAATTTGCTGTTAGGAATCGTAATGTAAGTATCTATGTTTTCCGATGGTCTAAGGCCCCTGCGAAAGGTCCTTCGGCCCCCTAAAGAGCCCCTACCACACCACACAAGTTGAGAACCTCAACTCTGGCGGAACTCAGCCTCCAAGTCCAACCAACGCTGCCCAACAGAGCGCGAAGGGAGAGCGACACTTCCCCAATGCTTCGTCATGAAGGGCGTAGGGGCGTGTTTTTATGACGTAAGGAAGAGGGGAGTGTCTGTACTCAAATCTCCTTAAGGAAAGAAATATTACATGGAAACCTTCATTTCACAGCCAACTACGATTGCAAAAGAGTTTTATATATCGCATCTTACTGTATATCTGCACTCTAGCTTCATGATTGTGAAAACCCTCACACTTCCTTTCCGGTTCTCCCCCCCGCACTGCTGCACGTGTTAGCGCCCTGAGTGCGCGCAGGCGCAGAGCGCTCGGGGCGGTGCCGCTGAGGGGCGGGTGACGCAGCGGCCGTGCTGCCATTTTAAGTTGTTTGTTCTTGTTTCTTTTCCTCAAACGCGACTCAGCCCCGGACCCGGGAGGTTCCCGAGGCAGCCCCCGCTTCTGCAGCCACTCCGGTGCGGGGGAAACGAGGCTGTGGCCCCGCGGACGCTCGCCATCCTCCACGTCGGCTTTTCTACCCCATTCCTCGGGGCTCTCTTGGACTATCTTCCTGAACCAGACTGTTGGGCGACGTAGGCCTCGGGAGCCGACGCTTGAACTGAGACAACTTTGCCGAGCTCACTCCGCGGACAGGCCGTAGCGCAGGGCTCC